TAGCACCGTTTGAACAATCACAGGTTACGAATCACGCCGTGCGCCCCCGCACTTGAATAGTCAGATCTTACTATTCAAGCGGTGCCCCCCCCCCACACTTGAATAGTCAAATATTACTATTCAGGTGCCCCCCACCCACACTTGAATAGTCAGATCGTACTATTCAAGTGGTGAGCTCCTTCGCCGATCGAGTGGGTGGCAGTCGCGTGCCCCAGGAGGGCGCCGCAAGATGCAGGCCCTACAACACGCACCCTGGGATGCCCATCGACGGCCCCGATGAGACCCCGTGCGAGCCCCGGGCAACACCGCTCATGCCGCACGCTGCAACGGCCAATGTGAATTGGGGCTACCTGGGATGCCCCACTGGGGCATCGCTGGGACTTCCTTGAGAGCTCCAGATCTCATCGCACAGTTGCCCGAAAGCCAAGCAGGGGGGGGTGCGTACCGAAACAAACAAATCATTCGACCGTGCGCGGGCCCATGTCGCCCCAATCGCAACCGAACTAACCCTTAAGTCGAGCCCCACACGCTGCCCCGATACGGCCTCAATATGACCATGCGAGAGCCCCGATAGGTCCCACGGTGGCCCCACAACCGCCTGCACGTGCCAACGGGGGGGGATGCGATAGGGGGAGGCGAGAGGGGGCGGAGGGGGAGATGGGTAGGAATATGTCGTTCGCTCAAATGTAACACATGCGCAATCCACGCTAATGTATCTGACAGCGCTCGGCGCCGTAGCGCGCAGCGCCCGATCGTGCTCCAACTGCCCCGCCGCTGCCTACGGATGCCCGCGCCCCACGCAAGCATCATCAATTCTGGCGGGGCCCCGTGTCGGCGCCGCCCACCCGCCTCACATAACCGCCGCGGCAATACAGACCGTCGCTGGCGACTCACCGTCAGGCGCAACCACTGGCTTCGGCTGAGCGTCCTGGCTGTTCACCGTATCGCCCTCAGTCTCATCCACACTCAACGAACCACCATCCTTGCTCGGCGTGTCGGCATCATGGGTACCACAGCTCAGCGAGTCGCCATCCTGCGCCACTGTACCGACCGTGCTGGCCGATCGGCCCGACTTCTTGACGTACCGCCCGCGGTGCAGCCCCACGTGGTCGTACAGAGTGCAGCCGCGGATGTCGTCGATGGTCCTGATGCCCGTGTGCAGGTAGCCGAAGAACGCGTTGATGTTCCCATCGTCGAGCGGGATGATGAGGCTATCGCGGGACTTCAGAAGCCCCACGCACTCGATCTGGAATCCACCCGTCTGGACCACCACGAGGTTTGACGGGTGCTCCTCGGCGGGGTTGTCGGCAGCTTGCTTGCGCTTGCGCCTTGGAAAGTGTGCGGGCGGCTGGTCTGTCACGTCGCCGCCGCCGGGCAACCGCTGGATGCCCTCTTGCGAGACCGTGGCCTTGCCGCGCAAGAAATTCACCTGTGCGATGTTCCGTGCCTTCACTAGCTCCTTGAACAACGGGTGGCCAGCGATGCTGACCTTCGTGCCCATCGCTGACGCAGCCTCTGCCACCTCTGTCTGCTTCAGCCCCGTGGGCAATGAAATTATCGGTGCCCTGTGCGGGGCAACAACCATGCACGGCTTGCCGCAGACGTTCATGAGGTCCTCTCTACTCACGGACATAGACCTGTCATTGAATTTCAGGGTAGCGGACCACACCACGGTTGCAGGCGGCATCTGCGCGCGCCGTCGAAGGCACGCGTGTAATGCGTGCAATAACACCTCAAGCCACACATGGCATTGGCAACGCATGATTAGCTGGCACCGCTAGCCCCTCAAATACAAACCGCTCTGTTGGTGACGTCAGGGCTGCCGCGTCGCAATGCGCCGCAATGCAATGCAAAGACGCGGGCGACTGAACGACGCCGCGCGTGCCCATGCTGACCCACCAATGCAAACACAATACAAACGCAATGCACTCGCAGCGTGCGCCGCACCGTTGAACAATGCATTTGGGACGCGTGGGGCCCCCTGCAACTCAGCGCGCCAAGTCGCGTTCTACTCGGGGGGGGGGGGGGGGGGGGGGGGGGCGCGCGCCCATCGCAGAGCGATGCTAAGCGCTGTCCCCATGGGCGGCGGAAGTGGCGGGGGGCCAGCTTTGGACCGGGGGCCACTGTTTGTTTGTTATTTGTTTTATTTGCGTGGCCCCAGGGGGCGGCGGACTTGGCGGCGAGCCGTGGCCCATAGCGCGGTGGAACGGTGACAAACTAAAACAAATTACACATCCGTCATGCCCCGAGCGCCTCCCAATCCAAACCTAACGCGTCAAACCACAGTCCCACGGGACGTCCCAGCCCAACCATGAATTACCGTCGCTCGCTTCGGCTGTGGGCGCAATGCGCCCCAGGGTCGGCGGTCGCGGCGCGGAGCCGCCCTCGGGGCAAAGATACTGCGGGCGACGGGCTGCGCGGAAGCGCGGGGCGACGGACTGCGCGAAAGCGCGGGGCGGCGGGTTTCGGCGATAGCCATTGGGAAACGAGGAGCGGAGAGCGACGACGACGATGACGACGAGGGAGACGGTGAGTACGAGTCTAGAGACAATCTTGGTGGCACGTTGGGCGGTTTGGCCGCCATCTTGGAGGCGCCTTGGGCCGCCTTAGGCCGTCGGGGGACCGAGAAGGGGCAAGCGTCAACATCCTTCGAGAACCTAGGGGGGGGGGGGGGTCATTGAATCCCACCAGCCCCTGGGCGTAGGTGGTTCAGGAGTGCCTCTTCCATATTATCTTCTTCCCCTTCGGGGAGGGTTGACCCCCCCCCCCCCCCCCCCCCCTGACCCCCATCCCCTGCATGTACCTGGACGAGTGGTTTCGCTGGTAGTTGGAGCGCCCAAGACGGCGCAATATGGCTCCAAGAGGGCCTCGGAGAGCCACATATGACCTCCAAGATGGCCCAAAGCAGCCCAAGACGCTTCAAGATGTCCCCGAGGATGCCCCAGAAGGCCCCAAGACCGCCCCACGACGACTCCAATTAGCAACGTAGCCCCCCAAGGATGCCCCCCACGAGGCCAACCTGGCTCCGCAACCTAAGGGAAAACAATGTTGTTTGCGTCCTCGCCTTTTCGCTTCCGATGGCCATTCGGGGCCCCAGGATGTTTCCAAGATGGCCCAATATGGCCTCAAGCGGGGCCCAATATGGCCCCAGGACGGCCCTACGATCGCCCAAGAGAGCTCCAAGAGCGCCCCAAGAGGGGTTCAAGAGGCGATCTGAGAGGCTCCCGAGGGGGGCCGCTAATTGGGTGACCCCCTTCCTTTGATCGGTCTCCTCCAAGATGGCCCCAAGAGCGCTCCAAGAGGGCCGCAAGAGGCGCCCAGGAGGCCCCAAGAGGCCACCTCGAGGCCCCCAAGAGCCCCCCTAGACCCCCAAGAGGCTTCAAGAGGATCCCCGAGGCATCCAAGAATCCCCTAGGCGCCCCAAGAGGACCCCAAGCCAACTTCCAAGGGACATCCTAGGAGGCTCTTGTGCACGTCATTTGTCTTGTTCCTCCTCATCTTTCTCATCCTCCTCCTCCCCCTTGTCGGCCTACTCCTCTCATTCTCCTCCACTTTGTCAGCCTCATCCTCCTCCTCATCCTCCTCCTGTCTTCTTCTCTTCCTCCCCCTCCTCATCCTCCTCCGCATCCCCCTCCTCCTCATCATCCGCCGATTCCCCCTCCTCCCTCCTCCCTCCCCCCACTTTTCCCACCTGCTGCCCCTCCTCCCCCTTCCCCCTCCTCCTCCTCCTCCTCCTCCTCCTCCTCCCCCTCCTCCTCCGACTCCTCCTCCATCCTCGCCTTCTTGGGTAAGACGGGTCCCCCAGCCCTTTGCTACTCTGTATGCTCCCTCGCTTCCCTGACCGCCGCAATTCGCCTGGGCGTCGTTTTTGGATGGGCTGGCGGGGGCGCGCGAAGCGTCAAGAATTCTTGCCTCCTCGGGCCTTCCTGGCGGTCCTCTTGGAGGCCTATTGGTCCAATCGTCGAAGCATCTTGGGGGTATCGTGGGCCGTCTTGGGCCATCCTGGGGCGATCTTGGGCCGCATTGACAGCGTGGTTGACAGGTTTGGAGACCTCTTGGGCCCCCATCTGCACGCGACCCCCCCGCGCCTCGTTTAAGTTTGGTATCTTTCGGGCGGGCGGAACCAGGATCAAGGGGCTGCAATCGGATGCAAGGATGGTGGCATCCAGTTCCTAGGAAACTCGAGCGAGTGACAAGAATGGTGGGAGAGCGGATGGGGAAGATGCGGCGGCATTCACCCCCTCCCTCCCGCCCCCCTCCACACCGCGGCGGAGGGCGGAGGGGAATGGGGGATGATAGCACCCTGATGGCAGCTTCGCTTGGTGCATCCTAACGGCATGTTAAATAACACCCTGATAGCAGCGTTGCTGGAGACATCCGAATAGCACCATGCTCGCACCCTAATAGCAGCGTTGTTTGAGACATCCCAATGGCCCAACTAGCACCCTATTAGCACCATGATAGAACCCTAATAGCAGCTTTGCTTGGGACATCCTAACGACATGTTGAAGAGCACCCAAATAGCAGCGTTGCTTGTGAGATCCTGATAGCACCAGGCTCGCACCCTAATATCAGCGTTGCCTGAGACATCCTACCAACTAGCACCCTAATCGCATCATGATAGCACCCTGGTAACAGCTTTGCTTGAGACATGCTAGCACTATGTTCGCATCCTAATAGCACCATGCTCGCACCAACTTGAGCTAGGGTGGGCCTCCCTCAAGTGTTACTTCCTCATCCTCCTCATCATCGTCATCATCCTCCTCGTCCTCCTCGTCCTCCTCCTCCCCTCCTCATCCTCCCTCATCGTCCTCCTCGTCCTCCTCGTCCTCCTCCGCATCCCCCTCCTCGCCGTCCCCCCCCCCTCCTTCTAAGTAAGGGTGCCCAACACTTGAGGGATGCATGACGCAAGGGAGCGGGTGACCATTCCCTGCGCCGCTGGGCGGCGCGCCGTGAGTCACGGCGAAGGGCGCCCCGTCGGCGCGAAACGGGCGGCCGCCCTAGGGCGACTGCTTGTAGCGCTTGCGGCGCATCGGCGGGACGAGGTAGCGGCCCTCCCGCACGGCCTTCTCGTGGAGCGTCGTCCTCGGCTCGGCCCCCTTCTTCGGGGCGAAGAGGACGGCCTCGGTGTTCGCCTGCAGGGCCTTCGGGTTGACCAGCCTCGTGAAGGCGACGCCGTCCTTGTAGATGACCTCCTTCACGACGGTCGCGAGCTTCTCGTCCGACGTCGTGTCCACCCACCAGAACGGCTCGAAGGCGATCTTCTCGCCCCACGTCGCAGGCTCGGTCGTCGTAGTCGTCGGAGGCGCGGTGAGCACGATGCTCACGTCGATGGCCTCGCCGTCGTCGTCGAGGTGCACGGTGCACGCGGTCAACGAGTTCTTGAACTTCAGCTTCTCGTCGATCTTGACGCACTCGGGGTGCGTGCTCGGCAGGAGCTGCATCTCCTTCGCCTTGACGGCCCGCTTGGTGAACAGCTTCCTAGGGTTCACCATGAAAAGGAAGCCGTCGCCGCCGTCCACGCACGCGCCGATCGCCGAGAGGGAGATGACCTTCCACGCCCTAACCCGCGCCCAGTCGTGCACGAACTGGGTCCGCGAACGCACATGACGAAGGGCTGCGCTGGCATCCATCAACATCGGGAGCTTCTGTGCGTCGCCAGCAACCTTGACGAGTCTATATTTGCACATCTCATCCTCATCCTCTTCCCCCTCCCCCCCCCCCTCGCCCTCCCCTCGTCCCTCCTCCTCCTCCTCCTCCTCCTCCTCCTCCTTCCTCCTCCTCCTCCTCTCCCCTCCTCTCCCCCCTCCTCATCTCATCCCCCTAATCCTCGTCCTCCTCCTTCTCCCTCCTCCTCTTCATCATGCGTGTTCAGCTTTCTTGACCAGAACTCCCCTCCCCCTCCTCCTCCTCCTCCTCCTCATCATCCCTCCCCCATCCCCCTCCTCATCCTCCTCCTCCTCGTCCTCCTCATCCTCCTCATCCCCCTCCAACCTTGAACTTCTTGACCAGGTCGGTCGCCGTCGCGTCGGCGTCGAAGCCCCGCTGCAAGCCGCCGAACGTCTCCTTGCGCAGCACGACTGTGCCATCGGTGATCTTGTGGATCACGCGCAAGCCCTGCGTCGGCGGCGAACCCAACTCCATCACCTGCTTGCCGACGGCGTAGCCCTTGGCCTGGAGCGCCTTCGCCTCGCAGTTCAAGTCGGCGGCCGACTCCACGAAGCTGGTGATCGCCAAAGTGGCTGGCGCGGATGTCGCAGCGCCCTCCTCCAAGGGCGTCCACTTGCATGGATTCGGACTGCCATCGAGCTTCTGGATTTCACTGGCGGCCATGCGGCGAATCTCCTCGCAGCTGTCGAACTGTCGGCCCTCGTAGCCGAGCTTCTCCTTCTCGCGCAAGTGCAGCCAATTTCGGATGAGAAACTTGAAGAAGATGTCGCACCTGTTGTTCTCGCTCATCGAGCCCTGAAACACCATATCGCCCAACCGCTCGTCCAACTTCATGGCCGACGTCTCCAGGACGGACACTGCTTCATGGTTCGTCGGGCTCTGGAACCATGCGATGTCCGACTTCTGGAAGCACACGCCAACGCCATACTCGACCTTGTGCGCGAGGAGGTTGGCGGCCATGCACCCCAAGCGAACGAATGGGAACTGCTTCAACCCGTGACCCTTGAAGGCCATGCCCGCGACGTCGGTCAAGTATGCGCCGCCCATCTTGACCTTCAGCTGCAGCGAGCTCCGAAACTTCTCGAGCCGGATGGCCAGGGGCATGCCCGCGTCGTGGCCGTAGAACTTGGCGATCGCCAAAATGCCCTGGATCGGCGCCTCCTCTGCTGACGTTGCTTTCGCGGCCTCCGCCGCCTGGTCCCACTGCAGGCCGCCCGCGCTGTACTTCGTCATGGCGATGGCGGCCTCCAGCTCGCCCATCGCCTTTCCCACCGCGTTGTCGCTGTTCTGGGCTAGCTGCGACAGGTGCGCCAGGCCAGGCCAGGCGAGCTCGCACTTCCAGGATATGACTTTGAAGGGCCATCCTTTCAAGAAGTTGCTCATCTGCGGGTCCATCTCTTCCAGCTTCGACTTCGCTAGCTTGCCGCTGGAATCTTGAAGCTTCTCGATGGATGTTCTGCATCGCGCGTGCACGGCCTTCGAGAACTGGCTACATTGGCTCGTCGCGAGGGTCAGCAAGCGCTCCTTCCCCGTCCACTCAGCGAGCTTGCCCCCAGCCCTCGCTATCATCTGCTGGTTGTTGTGGACGTGCACATCGCGCATCGGGTCATCGAGGGGGCACAACTGCATTGCCAATGCACCCATCGGCGTCTTCGCTCCAGCTTCAATGATCTTCAAGCCCTTGCCTTCGACGTCCTCGCCCGAACACATGGGCCCACCTCGGTTGTCGGCGTGAACTGCCAGTGCATCGGCCTCTGGACACTCCTCCCGCATGAAGCCCTGGTCCTCGAGAAACGCTGCCACCCTGCTCCAAGCTGTGTTGGGCGCTACTTTCGTGGGGTCGTAGTCCATGAGCTTCTTGCCCTGGGCGACGACGTCGGCAGGGATGCCGCGGTCGAGCTTCGACCGCAGGCGGGCCGTCTTGGCGCCCATCACCGCGGCCCGAGGCGCGGATGTGACCGCGCCCCGCGAGAAAAAGGAGGACAGCGGCGAGGCCGCGAAGAAACTGCCTCGAAGAAGCGGCGGGCAAGCTGCCCGCGCGCTTGAGCCCAAACGGGCTATGGATCACAACTGCATGTGAAAAGTGAAGGCTGGTCAATCGTCCGAAACCCTATCGAGAAGGATATGCGTGGTCACGCGCCTTCGCGTGCGCCTGCACCTAGAGATGGACCCGAGACTGCCCCAACTGGACCTCCCATGAACTCGCGAAAGTGGCGTCAGTTGCGCAAGTGGCCCCTAACCCAAGACAGCCCCAGACTGCCGTTGAGGTGGCCCCAAGACTGCCCCAAATACGCTATGCCCAGACTGCCGTTGAGGTGGCCCCAAGACTGCCCCAAATACGCTATATACGTGTGTGTGTGCACGTGTGTGTGTGAGTGTGTGTGTGTGTGTGTGTGTGCGTGTGCACGCGTGTGCCCCAATACGCACCGAAACAGCTGTAATTTGAAAGGCCTCCAAGACGGCCCACGACAGCCGTTGGGCGATATAGCCCACGCCCCGAGACTGCCAACCAACCGACGAACCAGGCAGCCAACTGCCAGACCCTCGGATGGGCCGCAACGGCGTGTGAAGGCGCCGACGGCGCCGCTGGCGTGTGTATGAAAACGCGTCACTGCCAGACCCTCGGATGGGCCGCAACGGCGTGTGAAAGCGCCGACGGCGCCGCTGGCGTGTGAGAGGAAACGCGTCACTGCCAGACCCTCGGAGGGGCCGCAACGGCGCGTGAAGGCGCCGACGGCGCCGCTGGCGTGTGAGCGGAAACGCGTCGCCGACCCGCGCTCGGGCCATCGTCGTGTGAGCCAGCCTAAGATTGCCTAAGACCTGCCTAAGACTGCCTAAGCTTACCAGCCTACGACTGCCTAACCAAAGCCCCCAGACTGCATTGAGTTGAAATGACCGAACCGCTACGCCCCCACCCACCCACCCACCTACCCGCCCCTCCCAGGCGCATGGGGCATGGAAAACCGCCCGTCCGCGCAGGCGCATGGGCCACGAGGCGTGTTCCGCGGGCCTGGCGCCCCCCCCCCCCCAGGCGAATGAGCATGTATCTATAGACTGCCCAAGAGATTGCCAACCAACCAACCAACTAGCCAGCCCACGACTGCCTAAGACCAGCCTAAGACTGCCTAACCCGATCATCCTATACAACCCAAGACTTCCCAACAAAACAGCCTAAGTTTCCGCGACTGCGTTATGTTGAGATGGCAGGCCCACTATGCCTCACATGTGCATGTGAGCGCGCTCGTGCTGGCCTGTTGGAGGGGCGAGGGGGAAGCGAGTGAATGCTGAATGCGTGGATTGGCGCGCGTTGGCGCGCATGACCTAGAGGGGGGAAGAGGGGGAGGGGGTGCATTTTGAATGCGTGTGTGTGTGTCGGCGCATTACCCCATCCCGCCCGGCATGGCCCTGGGCCTCGACAGCAGCTGCCGCGGGCGCGCGAAGCATGCAGGCTGCTCCCTGCTCTGCGCTCTTCCCGCTCCCACGGCCGCGCCCACCTCCTCCCCCCGTCTTCTGCGGGCTGGGGTGGGGGCACATGAGGGCCGCCAGCGGCTGCCAGGAGACGGGCCACGAGCGCAGAGCGACCAGCGCCACGGCGACATGGACACGCACACATATATTTATCCTCGCGAAGGACCCAACCATGTATGCAGGTGTGAGTGCCGCAGGGTGGTTGGCACGAGTGAAAGGGAACTCTGCTTGGGACCACGAAACGCTGTGCTGGGTGATGGTGGTGGTGGTGGTGATGGTGGTGTGTGTGTATGTGTGTGTGCCTATGCGTGTGTGTGTGTGTGTGTGTGTGTGTGTGTGCGTGTGTGTGTGTGTGTGTGTGTGTGTGTGTGTGCGTGTGTGTGTGTGTGTGTTGTGTGTGTGTGTGTGTGTGTGTGTGTGTGTGTGTGTGTGTGTGTGTGTGGTGTGTGTGTGTGTGTGTGCGCGTGCGTGCGTGCGTGCGTGCGTGCGTGCGTGCGTGCGTGCGTTGCGTGCGTGCGTGCGTGCGTGCGTGCGTGCGTGCGTGTGTGTGTGTGTGTGTGTGGTGTGTGTGTGTGTGTGTGTGTGTGTGTGTGTGTGTGTGTGTGTGTGTGTGTGTTGCGTGTGCGCGTGTGTGTGGGTGGGTGGGTGGGTGTGGGGGGGGGGGGGGGGGGGCATAGGGGCGCGGCCACTGGGGCCTTCGGCGGAGCTCCCTATGGGGCCACGGAACGTGTGAGGGGTGTGCCGAAATGGGCGCGGTGGGCGCATGGGAGCGCAGCCACTTGGGCCTTCGGTGGAGCTCCCTATGGCCCTATGGGGCCACGAAGCGTGTGATGGGTGTGCCGAAATGGGTGCGGTGGGCGCATGGGGGCGCAGCCACTGGGGCTTTCGGTGGGGCTCCCTGTGGGGACACGGCGTGCCGAAATGTGTGCGGTGGGCGCATGGGAGCGCAGCCACTTGGGCCTTCGCTGGGGCTCACGATGGGGCCACGAAGCGTGTGAGGGGTGTGCCGAAATGGGTGCGGTGGGCGCATGGGGGCGCAACCACTGGGGCCTTCGCTTTAAGGGAAAGCACAACACAGCTACAAATCCCAGAAACCCAACGACGCGTGAAAACAAAGCAAGCAAGACAAACAACACCACTCAAGGACGTTCACTCAAAAAACAAAGGCTGGCATAACAAGAGAACGCGTTTGACGGCAAGCTCGTGTGACCAAACTTGCCCGAAGAGCTTGGTCACTGGACTGGTGCGTAAAATGATTTGGGCATCATACGAGAGCATCTGATCACGTGGGCTCCTGTGGCATTCGCGCATGTAACTCGTCCAACAATGCTTGAACAAATCCCGAAACGTGTGAGGAGTGCGCCGAACTAAGTGCGGCGGGCGCATGAGCGCAACCACTGAGGCCTTCGCTGGGATTCCCTATGGGGCCACGAAACGTGTGAGGGGCGTGCCGGAATGGGTGCGGTGGGCGCATGGGAGCGCAGCCACGCGGGCCTTCGCTCGAGCTCACGATGGGGCCACGAAGCGCGTGAGGGGTGTGCCGAAATGAGTGCGGGGTGCGCATGCGAGCGCAACCGTTAGGGCCTTTGCTGGAGCTCCCTATGGGGCCACGAAGCGTGTGAGTGGTGTGCCGAAATGGGTGCGGTGGGCGCATGGGAGCGCAGCCACTGGGGCCTTCGCTGGGGCTTCCTATGGGGCCACGAAGCGTGTAAGGGGTGTGCCGAACTGGGTGCGGCGGGCGCATGGGGGCGCAACCACTGAGGCCGTTCGCTGGAGTTTCCTACGCATGGGGCCACGAAGCGTGTGAGGGGTGTGCCAAAATGGGCGCGGTGGGCGCATGGGAGCGCAGCCACTGGGGCCTTCGCTGGAGCTTCCTATGGCGCCACGGAACGTGTGAAAGGGTGTGCCGAAATGGGCGCGGCGGGCGCATGGGAGCGCAGCCACTGTGGCCTTCTCTGGGCTCCCTATGGGGCGGGGTGTGCCGAAATGAATGCGGTGGGCGCATGGGGGCGCAGCCGCTGGGGCCTTCGCTGGAGCTCTCTATGGGGCCACGAAGCGTGTGACGGGTGTGCCAAAATGGGTGCGGCGGGCGCATGAGAGCGCACCCAATGGGGCCTTCGGTGGAGTTCCCTATGAGGCCACGAAGCGTGCGAGGGGTGTGCCGAAATGGGCGCGGTGGGCGCATGGGAGCGCAGCCGCTGGGGCCTTCGCTGGGACTCTCTGTGGGGCCACGAAGCGCGTGAGGGGCGTGCCGAAATGAGCGCGGTGGGCGCATGGAATCCCCAAAAGGAATCCCCAAAGGAATCCCCAAAAGAGGCCCCGAAGAAATCCCCAAAGGAATCCCCAACGAAAGCCCCAAAGGAAGCGCCAGTGGAATCCCCAGCGGAACCCCCAAAGGAACCCCCCAAGGAATCACCAAAAAGACCCCCAAACGAACCCCCAAAAGAGGCCCCAATGAAACCGCCGAGGGAATCCCAAAAGGAGGCCCCAAAAGTAATCCCCAAAGGAATCCCCAAAGGAACCCCCAAAGGAACCCCCAAAGGAGCCCCCAAAGGAATCCCCAAAGGAATCCCCAAAGGAGGCCCCAAAGGAATCCCCAAAGCAATCTCCAAAGGAACCCCCAAAGGAATCCCCAAAGGAACCCCCAAAAGGAATCCACAAAGGAGCCCCCAAAGGAGTTCCCAAAGGAATGCCCTAAGGAGGCCCCAAAGGAATCTCCTAAGGAACGCCCAAAGGAACCCCGAAACGAATCCCCTAACGGAGCCTCGAAGGCAACCCCAAAGGAATCCCCAAAGGAATGCCCAAAGGAATCCCAAAAGGAATCCCCAAAAGGAGCCCCCAAAGGAGCCCCCCAAAGGAATCCCTAAAGGAATCCCCGAATGACGCCCCAAAGGAATCCCCGGAAGACCCCCCAAAAGGAACCCCCAAAGGAACCCCCCAGTTTTAGGGGGTCAGACAGTTAAGTTTTAGGGTGCAGCCCCCGAAACTTGGGGGCAAGCCCCCAAGTTTCGGGGGCTGGTCCCCAAAATTTTGGGGGCGCGGGCGAAGAAGTAAGAAGATATAATCATTGATCTTATATGATTACACCTGCTTACAACTTAGATGCTAACTTTCATGCAATCTACTTATCTTAGATTTAACTTCCACCCAAACAAAGCACAACTTTGTTATCACCGTTTTAGAAGATAGCCTCGCCTGCTAAGAGTGTAGTTTCTACTCTACGCACTCTCTAATGGGTTTGCAAGTTGCAAGATGATGCGAGAGGATGTGAGGTGATGCCAGAAGCTGAGAGGTATGATGCGAGATGATACATCGCCCGCGATCATCTCGCAAGATCAGCCAGGGGGGGCGCCCATCTAGGTATTCTGAATTTCAAGAAATTGGTTGAAACCGGCGCAGCCAGTGAACAGAGACCCGTCCGCACCGATGTCTCCTTGGAGCTGACGGACTGTGCGAAGACGCCT